TTCGCACTAAGATATGTGGTTTTCTGGCTGGTTTCCTTTGTCTCGGGTTTGGTTTTATTTTGCCGGACACGGGTTTTTGGGTCTGCCCGTTACTGACTTACTGGACGCCCGTGTTTCTTTTCCTTTGCCCCCCTTTTGAATTCTTCTCCATTATCATTTGGGCAGAACTTTTTCGAAAGGGCAGAGAGGCAGCGACAGGTGGCGCTCGAGCGGCGGAGGCGGCGAGGCGATTTGTGTTCTCTTCGATTAGTGCTTCCCTGGTTAGTTCCCGTTGTGGCTCTCTCTTTCCCCCATGCGATTTGCTTCGATTTTGATCCTGTAGCTTCCAGATCTAGGTCTCGCGGTCGATTTGTTGTTCTTGTTGTGGATCATGTTACTTCTTGATGATTATTAGCGGTTGGTTAGTGTAGTTTGTTGTTAACCGATGCTCATCTATGGAGTTCGCCGCGGATTCCCTCTGTTGGCGTCAGTTCCCCCCTGAAATTCCCCTCGGTCGGTGTTAGTTCGCCGTGGAATACCCTCTGCTCGCGTCAGATTGTCGCGGGTCCCCTGTACTCGCTTTAGTTCGCCACAGATCCCTTGTTCTCCGGTATTAGGTTTATGTTTCAGGTCTCGTTGGCGCTGTTAGGTGTACTTGTCTGGTTTTGTAGCTTACTCAACCCCATGAATTACACTGTAATCCCCCAGTATTTTCGGTTGCTCTGTAGTCTATATTGCCTCTCTGATTCACATTGTAATACCCTCTGTTCTACACTGTAATTTTTTTCTTTCTGAATTTCTATTTGATGTATCCCTGATTTAGACTGTATTTCCCCTAGTTTCAGTGTTGTTCTTTATGCCCGATGAATACTGTAATGTATCTCTGAAGTTCACTATAGTATGTTTGACTTACATTTGTATGGCTGATTTATTGTATTTGTGGTAGGGCTTACACTGTAATTTATCCTAGTTTTGCACTGCAATTCTCTAGAGTTTTATAATGTACTTAGCATGGTTGAGTAGTTCACTTGCAATGTAACTCACCGAAGTTTTTACAGTGTATTTCCCTAGAGTTTTATACTGTAATTAACCTAATTTGAGGACTGTAATTGTGGTAGGGCTTACACTGTAAATCTCCAGAGTTTTACAGTGCATTTCCCTATAGTTTTATACTGTAACCACAGGGCTTGCACTGAAAATCTCCAGAGTTTTACAGTGTATTTCCATATAGTTACATCGAGGGCAGGCCTGGCGCAGTGGTGAAGTCCTCCCCACTTGTGCCAAGAGGTCCTGGATTCGAACCAGCCTCTCTGCATTGCACTTTGCAGGGGTAAGACTAGGTTCCTATAATCCCTCCCCAGACCCCACCTTGTGTGGGAGCTTCTATGCACTGGGTCTGTCCTTTTTTTTTTTCCATATAGTTACATTGTAGTTTGTATGGTTACAATGTAATTCCCTAGAGTTTTTCACAATAAGTTGTATGGTTGGAGGACTGTAATTTTTGTATGACTTACAATGTAATTCATCAGAGTGTTACACTCTATTTCCCTAGAGTTTTCACTGTAAGTTGTATGGTTGGAGGACTGTAATTTCAGTATGACTTACGGTGTAATTCATCAGAATTTTACACTGTATTTTCCCTAGAGTATTACACTGTAATTTGTGTGCTTGAGGACTGTAATTTCAATATGACTTACAATGTAATTCATCAGACTTTTACACTGTATTTCCCTAGAGTATTACACTGTAATTTGTGTGCTTGAGGACTGTAATTAAAGTATGACTTACAATGTAATTCACCAGACTTTTACACTGTATTTTCCCTAGAGTATTACACTGTAATTTGTGTGCTTGAGGACTGTAATTAAAGAATGACTTACAATGTAATTCACCAAACTTTTACACTGTATTTTCCCTAGAGTATTACACTGTAATTTGTGTGCTTGAGGACTGTAATTACAGTATGACTTACAATGTATTTCTCTAGAGTTTTACAGTGTATTTTCCTCGAGTATTTCACTGTAATTTTTGTGGTTGAAGACTGTAATTAAAGTATGACATGCAGGGCTTGCAGTCTCAAGTTTTGTACATGCGTTTAATATTCAGCTATCTGGTTGGTTTTGTAGCTTCTAGATCTAGGTTTGGGGATTGTTGTTTGTAGTGTTTGTGTTGGTTCTGCTTCATTTGCCTTTTTTATTTTAGGTTTGCTTCAATGGGGCGGCTGCGGAAAGTTTCTCACAAGGGTGTACCACTAGTCTCTCTCTTGAGAGTGCAGATTCTCTGAATGATCCGTTTGTGCCTAACGATTTTGCGATGATGGTTCTAATCCTATGTCTTTGGTATTTATTTCTTTTTCTTCCCTAGTTTTAATTAATTTGAACTATTTCTTTTCATTTTTAAATTTATGTGTATGTTCACTTTAACTTTATTTCAGGAAGTCTCTAGGAGGGCTTGACAAATCTCTATTTGACTTCTATATGGATCATGTATGTGTTTTTGTTTTTGTTGGTTTAACTTTAAGTGTTTTTTTTCTGATGGCTTATAAATTGTTGTCATCCTAATTTTTTCAGAAAGTGAAATGTTTGAAGAGGAAGTTATCATGTGCTGGAAGAAGAAACATGGTTAGTCCTTTTTTGATATTGATCTCTCTCTACACTTTATTTTGTTATCTTCTCTATTGGTTGCCAAATTTTCTCCAATGCACTATTACAGTCCTGTATTTGTAATGCATTTCTCTTTTTGTTTTTTGTAGAAACTGAAGCTGTGTACTGATTTCCCGTTTATTCTATTTCCCTGCTTCAATGGCCACTTAATTTTGGTCTGCACTCAATTTTCTGATGTGAAACCTCGGATTCTTGCGTGGAGAGGTAACAAAGTTAAACAGTTTTCAGAGCTTGACAGAAACAATAGCCGCTCTTATGGAAAGAGGCCATTGAAGAGAGCTTGTACTTCATTTAGTTTTCAGATTAGTTAGTTTTGCTTGTTTTTTTTTCTTTGTGCTGTGTGGTTCAGTTTTATATTTCTCATGTACCACTCTATTGTTTCAGGGTTCTGTTCAAAAATCTTCAGCGAGTAAGAGTATGGATTTTGATGCATCTGATGTTCCATTTGCTACAAGAGTTGAGTCAAATTTTGGTGATCATTTTGGCTCTGAGGTAATTGCTCTTCCTAGTTATTGTTTGTTGCTGTAGTAGTCCTACTGTAATTCCTACTATTTTTATTCGTACTGATTATATGTTATTTAGTGGTATTCTAACTCCTTTTATTCTTTCTTTCTTTTTTACAGTTTGCTCATGAACTTGTGGATCTTGTTCAGGCCAGACATCAAGAGAAGCCTAAGATTTTTGTTGAATGTTCAGAGTCTCTCATTGTTGATGTATTGAATTGTGTGTTGCAATCTTCTTTTCTTGCAAACATTCATGCTTCCGTGGAAGTTTTTGGCAGTGAGAATCATTCACTGAGCAAGTTCTCATTTGGTTAGTTTCATCTTTTTTACTTTAGCTTTCATTTTATTTCCCTGTTTATTTTTTTCTTTTGGTTTGTTCATAATTCAATTGACTGCTGGTTTTTTCTGTGATTTTGCATGCAATAAGAGTGTTTCTATTCAATCTGCTATCCCCAATACAAAGTCTGTGAGATTTGATGATATTCCAGGGAAGTGATATCCGTTTTGTTTATTGGGAGGCAATTTCAAGCAGAGATGTTTAACGGCTCTTTTGCTTCTACCTTTTGTTGTCAGGTGTGGTACAGGGAAGCTGCTGGGAGGGATCACGTGGGGTTTTATTGTTCTTTTGGTTTAGTTGACAACTGGGTCTTTTTTTTTAGCCTGACCCGTTTAGTGGGAATGAGAAGTATCAGTGGTTTTGGGCAAATACAGATGTCAACAGAACATTGCTCAGAAAATTTGAATGATATCCAATTGAAAAACAGTCAAATGTTAAATAGATAGTCCCAAGAAAAAAGGCTTAGTCAACGGCAATTTTAAGGAGCGAACATTCTCCCTACAATCATCCAGCGCGATGGAGTAATAGCCGTTGGATTTGTGTGCGCGGCCGTGCGCTCGCTTGACACGAGGTGCCGCGCCGTAGTGGATAAGTGGAGTCCGTTTTGGTTTTGGACTAAACTGGAATTTTAACAAGTTTTGACGGGTCTTAAGGGTTCCCCGTCCTCGACGGCTCGACCGGCGATTCCCGCCGACGCCTGCACCTCCCGCCGAGTCGCCTCTGTACCTGAAGTAACACCGCCACCATCACCAACCTTTCCCCGGATTCCACCAATCCCGTGTTCGGCGGGCAACCTGATTCCCCGCCAAATTTGTTGCCCTAGAGCCTGTTGCGTCCGACCTCGGTATCAAGATCCATGGCGCTCCCCGCTCTTTCCTTCCAGCCCTCCACCCTGATGGGCTCAAAAGCCGCCGACTCCGCCTCCGGATTTCCCGACTGGGTCTTCCTCTGCGAGGAGCCGCGTTTCTCGGAACGCCGGAACGAGACCACCGCCAAGTGCCGGACCAGCGAGGGCCAAGCCGTGGAGGTGTCCTTCTGGCTCGTCGACCCGCCGGGCGTCTCCTACTTCACCTTCAACTGCCCCGGCCTCGACCCCTCCGCCTTCCACGAGAAGGAGCCGCCCTCCCTCGTCTGCGCCGCGGCCGCCTTCGTCGTCTTCTGCCTCTCATTCAGGGGCTCCATCCACCACTTCGTCTACAGAGCCGCCCCCGCAGGGAAGCAGTCGCTGCAGCTGCTCCCGGACCGGGACCCCAGCTCCACGGTCTTCAGGAGAACGGGGTTCGGCCTCTTGCCCTGCGCCGACGGCCAGCACTACGCCGTCGCCTACATCGACCGCCAGTGTCTTGGCAAAGATTCTGATTGGTGGTTTCATGCGCACGTCTTCTCGTCTGAAACTCGGGCGTGGAGCAGCCACAGGGTGTCGTTGCGGCACTTAACCAAGTCTGATAGGCTCATGTGTTGTCGACATGGCATGTCACAGCAGATTCTGTTGCAGGCTCACTGGGCTGGGTTGAGCTCATGCGTGGCATTGTCCTTCTTTGCAACCTGTTGGACGGGAATCCTGTCATCAAATTTATCCCGTTCCCCGAATCAAGGGTTAGCTTTCTCGACGAGGATGGCCACCCTGAGCTCGCCCCTCAGTATTATTGCAATGTTGCCTGCTCCGGCGATCTCATCAAATTCATCGAGGTAGAATTTGATGACCCTGTTGTCAGGACCAGCGGTATAGGTTGGAGAGCCACTGTGTGGGAGAGGAAGTTCTCCTGGGACAAGTGGGAGATCCGCTCCACGGTCGATGTTGCTAACATCTCAGTTGACCAAAGTTTTTCTGCTGTATTGCCTGGGCTGTGGTGTGATGAGACCCAAAAACTGGACTTGAAGAAACTTATTTTCTATACCCCGCTGCCGAGCAGGCGTGATGACGATCTTTTTTACATGGTGGCTAAGGTGAATGCTGACGACGAGACTGCCTGGGCCATCGCAGTTGACATGGAAAGGGCAGGTGTGGAAGCAATGGTCCAGTTCTCTCTTGGACGGTACACGTACCACATTGCAATGTACTCTTCATGCGACTTCCCCAAGTACCTCAACATGACCCCAGGTGCTTCTTCTACCTTTATGCCCATGTAATAATTTAACTCGCAGTCTTATCTTTTGAATTCTTTGTTGTCTGTTGGTTATATGTGCTTAGGACAATGTTTCGGTATTGACACTATGGACATTGGACTGTTCGTGGTCATTAACTTTTAGCTGGTTTCATTAATGTTAAAATCTAGCTATGATTCATACATGTTGATGCGTTAGAAACACGCATGAAGCTGCAGCCCATACTTACTAAATGTGCTACCAGCATGGACCCTGTGTATGGACTATGGAGACCTCACTTATACAGGCAGGCAACACGGGGTTCATGAACACACATCATATATTCTGTAACCTTAAGTTTCATATTGTGCAAGTATGCACGATGAAATAGCTGTTGACATTGTCAAAGATAGTCCAGGTGTATCATGAGGCCATTTTTTGTTTTTTGTGGGATGATCCCATACCTAGTTAACTTGTTCGGCACTTAGTGCTTATGATAACTGAGGCTGTGCATGATGAACTGACTCATCCATTCCTCCAACCAACCAGGAAAAACAATGATTTGTTGCTGCTAATTCAAATCTGTTCCATGAACCGAATTAAAGCATCAATGGATATAGACAACCTCAAGTGGCTTATGCAGCATGAAATACCACAACTATCATGAAAATCCACTAATAACAGCAATCTGCTAGGGCCAGTGTCTTTCCATCTCATGTTGCTTGTCCTTTCGGCCATGTGTGCTTGACCAACCTGCGCACATCCTCAGACACCATATTACCACTGCAGGATGGTCTTGCTATGCATGCTGTTTATGGCACACTGGTATAATTCGTTAGAAGAAATGAGAGCAATCCAATGATGTAATGATGTATCCTCCAATTTTTTTGATCCATTATCTGCTGACGGGGCAATAAAATTACTCAATTGATAAGGTATACATTTTTCTTTTGCCGTCCTTTTTATCTAACTGTTTCGTTGTCTCAAACTATTGCAGGGGCAGGCATGGATAATCCAGCGGACAAGTGCTCTAAGCGGTAATTCACACATCGCTAATTTTAGCTGTTCCAGTATTTGATTTTTTGCATGATATCTATTTCGTTTATGCTGCTGCTTCTGTAGGATGTCTGTTGCCAGGTTGAGTGCAAAGCAGTGTGTGGTGCAAGTTCTGCGGACTCTAGACTGGCTTCAAGAACTTGGTAACTAATAAGCCTGACTTCTTGATATATGATCTTTATTTGTCTTGGTTATGACATACTAGATGTGCAGCCAACATTCACCAAGTGCATGTTTAGACCGTTGATCTGTAATTAATTTCTTAGCATCATCTGTTAATATCTTCTGAATTTAATCTGCAGTATTACTCTAAATGCTTGCCCATGTCAAGTATAATATGCTTGTAAATTTTATGTGCTTTCACTCTTCACATGTATGTCTGTAACTTTCTTGGTGAACATCTTAAGCAAGCGCAGCCCATGTGATAGCATCATTAGCTCTGCAGATATATGTTCTTGCAAATTGGCTGTCATGACCAGGACATTCACATCTGTATGGTCAATTGCAGATCAATGCTTGGAAATTGAGAGGTCAACTGACAACACATACAGATTATTACTTCAGTTTTCTCCAGTATCATCTCTGCGTTCCAGTATCAGACCAGTAAGTTCTGTTATTGTATCCCACAGATATAGTCCAGGGCTTCATGTTACGAGTGTATCCTTATCTCTTTGATATAAACCCTTTGTGGTCAAGTTTCTATTTCTGTTTCTTTGGACCACGCACACAACTTCTCTTTGACAAGCTTCAGATTCTTCATTTATTTGTCCAAACTATTTAGGCAGCCGTGCTAGCGTGTTTATAAAGCAATTGCTTGATTTCAAATTATGAACCGTCAGCATTCTTGGGCAATTATTTAAATTGATGTTATGAATTCCCATTGTGACTGAATCCTAATAAAATCGTGATGCAGATGGTAAAATATGCTAATGATCAAGGTGAAGCTGCATCGAAGGCTGTGGATTTTTGCCGAAGGTATATAGATGAGGAAACCAGGCATATGTTTGTGAAATAAACTTACCTTTATATCTGATCATAATGTCTGTTGTTTCCTAGAGCTTTGGAAGATTTCGACTTGGCTCTACACGGATCACCGAGTGATCCTTCAGCATCCGTTGAAGCCATGCGTAGCAAAATCAGTGATGTCATTCAAGCTTTGGACAAGTACAAGAAAATGAGTGGCCTCTCTTCTTTATTATTAAACGGAGCCCTTAGTGATTTTAATTTTGTACCTGGTTCAATTGTTTCAGCATCATGCAAATTGTGCCATCAACACTGATACCGAAAGAAAAGATGCTTGGAGATGCCAGCGACCAAAAAAGATCAAAGGCAACATCTGAAACTCGTGAGAAGCCATTCGAGGCAAAGAATACAGTTTATGGGTGTGGCTGCTACTGAGATTGATGTCCTTTCATTGGGACTGGTATCAAGTTCACAGGAGATGGATGAGAGCTACCCGTGAACAACGACGGGCCGTGGTCGATACAAAGGATAAACGTGGCAAGTGGCAGCAACGGAAATTCAAGCCCAGTAATTCTGGCAGCAACGGACCTGATATCGATGCCTGTGGTTGTGTCATCTTCCCACCGTGATGTAAAGGAGTCGGTATCTTACTGATATGGAATGTCTGTAGAAACATATAAGCTTATGGTAGATTGAGTGTTGAGTTATGGTTTCGGCCGTGGTTATGGGCATGATGCTAGCTTATGTGAAGGTGCTGGTTGCTGCTACCTAGTAGACACCTAACTGTAGTAGTACTACATATGTTGTTGCTACTACTTGCTAGTACCTTCTTCCTGCTTGCGTGCATGAAGAAACTGGTGGCGGGTTGTGCTCTTCTAAGTAAACTCCAATTAGAACCCCAGATCTCAATCCTGGTTGTACCTAGTAGTAGGTAAATGAAGTATCGGTTGTTTTACTCAATTGTTTCTTGTATCATAAGATTGTATCTGCCATGCGGGCAACTGAAGGCGCCAGAGTCCATCATGTCGGTGGTACCAGGCTGATGATGTTCACGCGGTGGTGTCTATGAGAGACAAGGTAGCGTCTGTGGATGCCGAGGTTGATGAGGTAGGGGCTTTGGCACCTCAATCTGAGGCGCTGAAGTCCATCCGATCGTCCGACTTTGACCGGGAAGATATGTTGGCATGTATTGACGAGGCGGTGTTCAAGAGAAAGCTTTGTGGCTTGCTTGCCTTCCTGGAGGCAGCTAGCCCTGTGTCTGGCAAGGCAATTGCTTGCCTTCTAGCGGAGGAGCCTTCTAGGGGCAAAATCAAGAAGGTGAAGAAGGCTCTTCTACGGTCAAAATCAAGAAGGTGAAGAAGGCTCTTAGGAGCATAGGCAAAAAAAGTGACGCCCTTGATAAAGCGTCTGTGGCTGCTTAATAAATAATTCTCAGCCTCTTCGACCGCCATCTCAGAGTGGCTCGTCTCCGTGGATTTGGTGGTGTCTGTTGTCTTCAACCTTGGTTTTGTTGGGGGTTTCTTTGCGACATAGAAGTGCGAGGGTTGTGGTTGCTGCGTTGTCAGGTTGATCATGGGGTCATGGAGTTTCTTTCTTAGAGAGTAGTCCACACGTGGTCTATATGTATCGGTTTTCGCCTGATGTTTTGTTAATTAACTAAGCAATTCTATTTTTAATTAATCGATGAGGCAAATCTTTTGCCTTCGTTTTGAAAAAAAAATTGTATCATGAGATGGGCTCGAGTCATGTGTTGCTGGAGGCTGTAAAATCAAGCTGAGGGATAAGTATCTACACGGCGTCCGTGTAAGTTCATTCACTTATCGGTCCAAAAGTTAAAAAGGTGTTTTCCTCAAAAAAATCCACTATCGGTCTAACAATTAAAGAAAGGTTTTTTTTCACAAGAATAAACATCGAGCTAACTAAACGGGCCTTGCGGAGCCGTTTATTGTGTCATTCACATCCCTAGGTATTGAGATTGAGTTATAAGTAAAACTCTAGTGTATTATGGTCGATGTAGACCCCGCTTGCTATTTGTCATGTGAGGCGAAGCGGAGATGGGCTGAAGAGCCAGACCGAAAAGAGGTTTGGTGGGTGGGTGCATGTCAGTGATTTTGTTGATGCCTCGCATGCCATGTAGGATTGGATGTCGAAAAAAATAGGTTCAGATGGGGAAGCGGGATTTTCTGCAGAAGGTGGATGCTTGAAGAGAAAGTGTGGTTCGGTGTAAAAAGCTAAAAAAGTTAGAGTGAAGAGTAGAGATAAATGTGTATTGAGTCTTTATTTTCTATTTCTTGATGAGACCCACTAATGGTAGCTTACATTGGAGAAAGAAAATCAGCGTAGACACCTCAAACTACCTTTTCTCATGAGACATATATATCCATATGCCACCCTAACTCATGGTCTAAGAAGGCAGGTCCTAGAGGGATTGCCAGGGCAATGACGAACCATTGCTTAGGCCAGCTTCAACGCATACATTCATTTTTCATCTGGTTTGGTCCGTTTGGGTCCTTGAGGCCAAAAACACGGCCTAACGTGTGGAAGCAAATGCAAATTTTGTCTGCTTGGTGCCCGTCTAAACGCATTTTTGTTTTAAATTCAGGTTCAATTTGCGTCCACACGAACACGATACGTATGCGCTATGCGTCCACGGTGTCCACCTTAGACTCGCGTGTCGGCCACCCAATCACCACCCTCTCGCCATTTTTAAGCCCACACTTGTGTTGGGGCCCGCACATCAGCCATAGAAACTCGTCTGGCACATTCTTTTTAATGCCACACATGCGGTGGGGGCTCGGCCAGTCCACTTGCTCCCCTTTGACCAGCCCTCTTCCTCTTCCTGCCCCAGGCCAGTCGAGATGTAGCCCTAGCCGCCACCCCACCGCTCTACGACCCATTGACACAACAATCCCATGGAAGTGGATCCTGGCAAGCCAGGGAAGCACGACCAGGAGGCTTGGGTCCTCATCGGGGTTAGGAGCTAGCGGGAGGAGGCCCAACAACAGGCGGCCGCACAGCTGGATGCGGCGCAAGCGGTGTGGCGATGTGGTAGCAGGCCTTTCCCATGAGCGGCGTCGTAGTTCATCGACATGACCCAAGATGATGAGGACAAGGACAAGTAGATTAGGCTTATTTGATGTTTTTAGGTTTTATTAATGTTAGACTGGACTTCTGGGTTGTTTATTTCTTTAATTAAAAAAATCTGGACGTCAAATGTTAAATACGTCCTCTGGGTTGGGCGCACCCACGGGCCGGTGGACGAAACCATACTTGGGTGTTTAGCTGGCCAACCTAAACAGACAAAAAAAGCAAAATCCACGTTTGTTTCAGCATCTGTGTTGGAGTTGGCCTTAGACATTTTCTAGGGGAGTTTCAGCCGTCAATATTTTTTGCGTGTCTTTGTTATCGAAACAATCATAGTAGGCACTCCCTTGGCCCTTGGGTAACAATTTATATCTTAATATGAACTATATACGAAGTGAAAGAAATGAACAAATACACTAAAACATATCAATACTCTATATACACCTAACACCTGATTCAGACAAAAGTTAGAACATCTTATATTTGTGAATGGAGGGAGTATCTAAACTGCAACTCCCTCTGCTCACAAATATAATATATTTTATAATATAGATTACATATATATTGAATTGAATGAACAATCACGTCAAAATTCGTCTACATACATCTCAATCAGAAAGGAGAAAGAACATCTTACAATAGTGAATGGAGATGCATATTTTGGTGATACTTTACAGATGCTAGCACTGGAAATTATAGTTGCCGCCGCTCTTCGGTCTTCGCCCAAAATTGAAAAGAAAATTTCCTCAAAAAGAAAAATTTGAAAAGAAAAGCGTTTGCCACACACTGAACTTATAGAAGGAAAAAAAACAAGTGAGAAAGCCAATCCAATTCCCCGCGGCCGTGCCCTAGCTCGCCGCGCCGCCGTCAACCCTGGAGAGATCCATGGCGTGGATCACCACCGCTTCCTTCAACCCCTCTGTGACGACCCGATGAAGATCAGATCGCACGGAAGGGAAAGGGGATGAGATGCAGGAAGAAGGAGGACAACTTTACTTGCAGGAGAGGAAAGATTCAGAGTACAGGTGAGAGAGCAGAGTGACCACACACCATACACATGCCTCACGTGCCCACGCAGGGGCTGGCATATAACCACTCGACGGCTAGGCCCACTGATGATCTGGCCTAGCGATGACTTGTCCCTCCTTTCCCTATTGGCTGATCAGGTCCACCGTGGCACTTGCAGGTGCAGGTGTGACATTTCCCCCTTCTTCAGAAGGAGCGTCACCTGGCGCTCCGGCCTCCCCTTGCCAGATCACTGCTGTCGGAAAACGAAGCTTGAGTGTGTCGTAGTCTTCCCAAGTCGTTGCCGAAGGCGAAGAAGAGTTCCAGCGTACTTGACGTTGCACCTGCGCCGCATTGCCGCGCTTGCCCATGCGTCTGTCGAGGATCTCCACGGGCGCCATCTCGACCGTGGACAAATCCGGCGGCTTGGGAAGCTCCATGAAGACGGGCGCGTAGTTCGGTGTGTACGGCTTCAGCTGGGAGACGTGAAAGACGTTGTGGATGCGGTTGTCCGGCGGCAGAATCAGCCTGTAGGCGAGTGTCCCGATCTTGGCCTCCACCTCGAATGGCCCGAAGAACTTGTAAGCTAGCTTGGCGCGGGGTCGATTGACGACGGAGGACTGCGCGTACGGCTGTAGTTTGAGCAGCACGTCCTCGCCGACCTGGAAGCTTCGCTCCGTGCGATGGCGGTCCGCCTTATTCTTGAAACGGCATTGAGCTCGCAGCAACTGTGCGCGGAGGCGGGCCGTGTGCGCGCCCCAGTCCCACTGCTCGTTGTCGATGACCGGCGCCGTCTTGTCGTCCCAGAGCACCGTTGCCCCCAAATTGGGCTCGGTGCCATACAGTGCTTTGAACGGGGTGCAGTTAATGGATGCATGGAAGGAGGAGTTGTACCAGAACTCGGCAGTCGGAAGCCACCGGCGCCAGTGATGGGGGTCGTCGTGGATCGCGCAACGCAGGTACATCTCCATGCATTGGTTGACCCGCTCGCTCTATCCGCCCGTCTGGGGGGTGGTAGGCCGTAGAGTACAACAACTTGGTGCCCGCGGCCGCGAACAGTTTGCGCCAGAGCGCGCTGGTGAAGACGCGATCGCGGTCGGAGACGTCGCGCTTCTGTCCAGGCCAGAGGAAGAGCTTCTTGACACGCTAGTAAGTGGTGGTGATGCCCGAGTGGCCACCCACCACGCTGTCGTGGAAAGCGCTGATGAGTTTGGTTCGGAGCGCCGTGTTGCTGCCGATCCAGAGCCGGTCGCCGCAGCGAATCAACCCTTTGTGCAGCTCAAACCCCTCCTCGTCTGGACTGTGAATGGCGAGGCGGGAGAGCATCTCTTGCGCGGTGGCGTCAGTCGCGTAAGAATTGGCGACCTCCTGCACCCAAGCCGGTTGGCAGAGGGAGAGCACGGCCACGCTCAGCGCAGCGCCCACCCGAGACAGAGCATCGGCCGCGCCGTTCTCTGCTCCGTGCTTGTACTGAAACATGAACTGCAGTCCCACCAGTTTGGACATCGCCTTGCGTTGCATGTCTGTCTCCAGTTGTTGATCCCCCAAATTGGATAAGCTCTTATGATCTGTAAGGATGGTGAACGGTCCGCGCTGCAGATAGGCACACCATTTCTCGACGGCCATCATCATTGCCAGAAATTCTTTCTCGTACGCCGACAACTTCTGATTGCGGGTACCCAACGCCTTGCTGAAGTATGCCACCGGATGGCCCTCCTGGACGAGCACCGCGCCGATGCCAGTGTCGCACGCGTCTGTCTCGACGACGAACGGCTTGTTGAAGTCGGGCAGAGCGAGAACGGGTATGCTCGCCATGGCGCGCTTGAGTAAGTCGAAAGCAGCCTGCGCTTGTTCAGACCACTCGAAACCTTTCTTCGTCAGTAAGTTGGTGAGCGGCTTGGCAATGATGCCATAGCGCGCGACAAACTTCCTGTAGTAGCCGGTGAGGCCGCGGAGAGCTCGGTGGCTGTCGTCGGTGTAAGCCACCGTAGCATCGCCTGCGTCTTGTCCGCGTCCGTGGCTACGCCCTCCTTGGAGATGATGTGGCCCGGGTATTCGATGATGTCTTGCGCAAAGGAACACTTCGAGGCTTTGACGAACAGCTCGTGCTGGCGAAGAAGCTCGAACACTTGCCGCAGGTGCTCGACGTGCTCTTCCAAGGTGCTGCTAAAGACCAATATGTCATCGAGGAAGATGATGACGAACTTGCGCGCGTGCTTGCCGAAGATTGTGTTCATCAGACACTGGAAGGTTGCCGGCGCGTTCGTCAGACCGAACGGCATGACGCGGAACTGAAAGTGCCCGTGGTGGGTTTTAAACGCCGTCTTGTGCCCGTCCTCCTCGCGCATACGAATTTGGTGGTAGCCGGCGCGGAGGTCGAGTTTGGAGAAGTAGGCCGCGCCTGCGAGTTCGTCGAGTAGCTCATCCATGATTGGCAGGGGAAACCGATTCTTGATGGTGATGTCGTTGAGCCGCCTGTAGTCGATGCAGAACCGCCAGGTACCGTCCTTCTTCTTGACGGGGAGTATTGGCGCCGCGAAGGGGCTCACACTGTGGGTGATGACACCGGATTGCAGCATCTCTTCGACTTGGCGTTCGATCTCGTCCTTCTGCAGCGGCGAGTACCGATACGGGCGCCCGTTCGCCGGCGGTGCGCCATCCACTAGAGTGACCGCATGGTCGTACTGCCGATGTGGTGGCAGCTTCTTGGATTCGCCAAACACGTCGGCGAAGTCGTCGAGGCCCACTTGCACTGCTGGCGGAGGGGGCTTGTCCTTGTTCATGCTCGGCGCGCGCCAGTCCACGACCGCCATGTACCAGATGTCGTTCCCGGCGTGCCACTTGGCAAACTGGTCCGGCTCGATGTAGTCGATATTGGTAGTGGTGCCCTTGGGACGAACGCCTTGCAGTGTCACGGTCTCGCCCTGGTGCGCGAAGGAGATGGTCTTCTCCAACCAGTGACAGTTCATGGGACTGTTTTGCTCGAGCCAGTCCATGCCCGGCACGCCGTCGTACGCCCCGAGCGCAAGCTGGCGCATGTCCGTGCTGAAAGTGTGTCCCTGGTACCACCACTGGACAGCCGGAATCATGTTGTCGCAGACCAGGCGCTCCCCATTGGTGACACGCACCTCCACGGGTGGCAGGGGCATGCTTGTTGCCTTGATCCGCTCCGCGAACGCCTGAGATATGAAGCTGTGTGTACTGCCCGAGTCCACGAGCAGCAACATCACTTGATTCCCCACCATAGCTCGAAGGCGGATGGTGCGCGGCGAGTCCCCGCCAGAGACCGCGTGTGTGGAGATGAGGCAGCACTCTGGTGCGGGTTGCTCTGGCACAGGCGCGTCCAGAAGGTCGAGTGCGTGCACCGCATCGTCAGTGAGCAGCTCGCCGTAGTCGCCCACTTGAATGGTGAGTAACTGCGTCTGTTGTTTGCAATGGTGCTCGTGGGAGTATCGGTCGCGGAGTTGCCGCTCGCGGGCGAACTCGTCGTTCGCCGGCCGAGCCGCTGCTGCCGCTGCTGGTGGCCGCAGGGGAATCGCGGCGGGCAGTGGCGGGGGACGCCCGGCAGGGATCAGTCGAGGGCGCGGGCGACAACCGTCGTTTTCTTCCTCCTGGATACGGGCCAGCACCGAGGCACGCATGATGCTGGTCGGAGCCTGAAGACGTACCGCGGCGCGTAGGTCGTCCCGCAGCCCGAGGAGGAACTGGGTGACGAAGAAGCGCGGGCTCAGCGAGGCGTCGAGGGCGAGTAGATGGTACATGTGAGCTTCGAACGCCGCTCGATACTCCGCCACCGTGCTGGTTTGCCGAAGTTGCAGGAGTTGATGCATCTCCAGTTCAAACTCGTCCGCCCCAAATTCTTCACGGATTGCCGCACAGAAGGCGTCCCACCCGAGCGCGCGATGAGCTTGACGGTACGCCTGAAGCCAGTGAGCTGCCTGTCCCTCGATGTACAGCGTCGCCGTGGTCACCCAATTGTGTGGCGGGACGCGGTACAGCTCGAAGTAGGCGACACAACGATCGATCCACAGGTACGGGGCTGAGTCGTCGAACCGTGGGAAATCGTGCTTCGGCGGCTTGGTGAAATACTCCTCGTGCCGCAGCATCTCCGGATCGTGGTGGCCTTGAGCGGGGTCGCCGTGGTGTGGACCGTCGACGGGGCCTCCTCCGTGCCAAAGTTGAAGAAGAGGCGGTCCGTTGTTGACGAGGCAAGGTTGATGTGCGTGCGGATTCACCGGTGCCGCGGAGGAACCGGTTAGGGGGCCGCCCCGTGGCGTACTTGGAGGGCGGCCGCGCGGCGAGGTCGCGGGCGGTGGTGGTGCGGTCTCGCGCTGCTGGCGCACCTCGTCGACGTCGGCCTGCGTCAGATCCACTTGCCGGCGCAGGTGGGCGAGATCGGCGGAGACCTACTTGTTGAAGGCGATCTGCGCCTCCGCTTGCTTGTCACCGGCGAGTTTGCTCTCGTCGAAGCGGGTGAGCTGGGACGAGAGCATGGACTTGAGTTGCTCCTATGATTCCGTCATGGCGAGGAGGATATGCTTGGTCTGCGTAGAGGGCTTGGACAATGGCGCCGTACCTGCTCGATTGATCTAACCCCGCTTGGGATTTAGCGTCGATTTGCCGAAGCAATTCAACACCCAGAGCAGTGGATGTTACAGATCAATCGGCGAAAGCGGTGGAAAAAAAATCGGCCGGAATCAAGATGGCTCTGATAACCAGTTGTGACGACCCGATGAAGATCAGATCGCATGGAAGGGAAAGGGGATGAGATGCAGAAAGAAGGAGGGCAGCTTTACTTGCAGGAGAGGAAAGATTCAGAGTACAGGTGAGAGAGCAGAGTGACCACACACCATACGCATGCCTCACGCACCAACGCAGGGGCTGGCATATAACCACTCGACGGCTAGGCCCACCGATGATCTGGCCTAGCGATGACTTGTCCCTCCTTTCCCTATTGGCTGATCAGGTCCACCGTGGCACTTGCAGGTGCAGGTGTGACACCCTCCTCCCTGACCGGGCCATACGTCGCCGGCGGCGCCGCCGCCGCCTCCCCACGCTCCTCCGCCTATCCCGACTGGGTCCTACTCCGCAAGACGGCGCGCATCTCGGCGTTCCGGAACGTGACCACCGCCGAGGGCCGCACGGCCGAGGGCCGAGCCGTCGAGGCGTCCTTCTGGCTCGTCGACCCGCCGGGCGTCTCCTACTTCTCCGTCCACTGCCCCAGCCTCCAGGAGGACGACTTCTCCGGCGAGCCCCAGGTCGTCTGCGCCGAGGCCGCCTTCGTCCTCTTCCGCGTCAGATTCAGCTTCCCCAGCGAGAGGCGGATCTCCACCCACCACTTCGTCTACACGGCCCGCGGCGCTGCGGGGCCGCCCTCACTGCAACTCCTCCCGGTGCCCCCCGGCGTTGAGGACGTCAAATCCCATCAGCTTGGCCTCTTGCCGCGCGGCGGCGAGCACTACGCCGTCGCCTTCCTCGATCGCAATTGGACCGCCCAAGGTGACGCCTGGCAGTGGCAGTTCGATGCCTACGTCTTCTCGCCAGAGACATGTTCCTCGCTGGGCTTATCGGAGGCCTCGCTGGGCTTATGCGACCTCCAAGCAGATGGATGGACACGGTCCGGGCCGGTCCGGTCCCGGTCCGAGCCGCCGTTTGGACCGGACGCCGGCGGTCCGGGCCGGACCGGACCGAGCTGTGCAGCGGTCCTGATTACAGGGACCGGACCGGCTGGCATGAAGCTCGGTGCGGACCGGCGGTCCTGGCGGTCCTGGCGCCGTCCAGTCACTGCCATGTGGGCCCAGGACATCGGAGTGGTGGTCGGAGTAGCAACACGGTGGCCGGAGCCGGAGAAGAAGCACCTGATGCACGGTGGCGCGAGAGAAAGGCACGGGAGAGAGAGGGAGCAGCATGGCGCGAGGCAGAGGCGTGGTGGCGCGAGGGGACGACGGCGAGAGGTAGAGGCGCGGCGGCGCGAGGTTGTGCCGGGAGAGGAAGTCGAGGAAGACGGCGGCGCAGGGGAGGAAGAGGGGCTGCGCAGGGGAGGAAGAGGGACGGCGCGTGCGAGGAAGAGGAGGCAGTGGCAGTTCGCTAGGTCACGCACGCCCCTCTTATTAGCTTTATTGGGCTGGGCTCTTCTGATTAGCTTTATTGGGCTGGGCCTTCGGTCCTCCGAACCGGACCGAGCTTTAACCGGACCGGACCGACCGAATTTCGGCCTCGTTTTCACGGACCGGACCGGCCATATTATCTAGCGAGCCAGGCCCGTACGGTCCGGTCCATAACGGGCCGCGGTCCGGGCCAGAAGCCCGCTCGTCCCGTCCACCCTCTGGTCGGAGCAAGCACACTGGGCTGGGTTGATATCTCACGCGGCATTACTCTCCTCTGCGACCTGTTCGACGAGTGTCCTGTCGTGAAATACGTCCCCTTCCCGGCGACAGTGGTTTGCGTCGCACCCTACTACCGTCTCACTCGTCACTCGGCGCAATGCTTCCACGATGTCGCCTGCTATGAGGGTCTGATCAAATTCGTCGAGATAGGCTTCGATGAACCTGACTGCATGATAAAGGGTAAAGGCTGGAGAGCCACCACATGGATCAGAAACATCTCTTGGGGAAGTTGGCGCAAGCACACCAGAGTTGATGTCGCTAACATCTCGGTTGACCAAAGATATTCTGCTCTGTTGCCTGAGCTGTGGAACCATGAGACCCATAAGCTAGAGCTGAAGAAACTGGTTTTCTTACTACCCAGTACCCACCCTGAGCGTGCGCAACGATGATCTTCTCTACATCATGGCCAAGGTGGGTGGGGAACATGACAAGGCCTGGGTCATCGCCGTTGGCATGAAAAGTGCGGTTGTGGAGGGACTAGCCCCTGTTTCGACCGGACGGTACTGCCCCAGTACAATGTTCTCCCCATGTGCCTTCCCGTTACCTCAACTACATGACCCAAGGTCTGGTTATTCTGCCTTCTTTCCCCTTATACCTCATGTCATATGATTTACTCAGCATTATATCTTTTGAACTCTTGGTTGGTTAAGTGTTTACTCAGGACAACTATGTTCTAGTTTTGACATTATTGACATTAGACTGTTTGTGTTCATTATATTTAGCTGTTCATCAAACTTGAAAATCAACAGCTAGTTCAGTAACCTTCATGAGTTTATGTTTCATGCTGCGGTTAGTTGCAAGTATGCAAGGTGAAACAGCTGCCGATACTGTCAATGGAGAGAGTCAAGATGACTCAGGATCTTTGCGAGATGATTGGTACATTACTTCTTTTATTGGCATAGTGCTTATGTGATGTGAGGTGGTGATGAGCCAACTCGTTCTGTTCCTCAAATCAACCAGGGGAAGATTTGCATTTTACTCCGAATTGCATATTTCGGAGACTGTCAGTTTGGTTCTTTTTTTGGCAATTATTAGGAAACAAGTTGGAATATAACCATTCATGGCAGAGACTGTCGGTTTGGCATAGAGTCAATATGACTCCTGATTTCTGTGGAACGATTACTTTGATAAGTCCACTCCTCGAAATACTAGTTTTTTATGGGATTGATTTGGTTGTAATATACCACATCTTCAGGTGCAGATATGCATGCTTAAAGTTTTGATTCATGTCAGAGAATGTCAGTTTGGCATAGAGTCAAGATGACTCATGATTTCTGTGGAATGATTGGGACATGACTTCAATAATTAGTGTCATGCTTATGGGGTTCGAAGCTGTTATGTGCCAACTTGTTCCATTTCTCTAATCAATCAGGAAAAACACATTTTAATTTGCATTTTCTCCCAGTTGCATTTGTTGGCAGACTGTCACTGTCATTTTTTTTCAATTAGGAAACAAGTCTGAAGAACCACTCGTTGGATGTGATGGAGGAATCTTGGAAGAACAGGAAATTCAAGCCGAGCACAGGATAAGAGGCAAGTTGCATTTCTTGTTCATGTTGATCTGCGTCTATGTTACGTATTTACTTCATTATCTATGTTATGCACTGTTTTCTTGGTACCGTTTGAATGATATGCTATCTCGTGCCTACCATGACATATTTATTATGTAAAAGATATCCAGAGAACAAGTACTTTGAGATTCCCCCTCATAAAAAAATGCCCCCTTGAGAAGTTGTATCATCTCTTTCCACATTTTTTTGTATGTAACTCTTCCTTTATCAAATAAATTGCAGGGCCTGAGATGGGCAATCCAGTGGACAAATACTTTAAGAGGTAACTCGTGCATTGCTATCTTTACCTGTATTTGAATTTTCATTTGCATGACATCGTGTTGATATCTGCTGCTGCTGTTGGCTGCCTGTTGCCAGGATGAATGCTTCACAGTGTGCTCTGCAAGTGCTGTTGACTCAACGCTGGTTCAGGGAACTTGGTAATTGATAAGTCCACTCCTTGAAATACTACTTTTTTATGGGATTGATTTGGTTGTAATATACCACATCTTCAGGTGCAGATGTTCATGCTGAGAGTTTTGATTCTGAATTAATCTCCTTACTACCTCTGCAAATGTCTTCTCAGTTTAATCTGCAGCATTACTGTAAATTCTTGTTCAAGTCAATAATACTATTATTGGAGATTTTGTTGAGCAAGCATATCCGCTAAATTGTTACAAAACAATTGTTTGCTTCTGCGTATATTTGTGAATTGACCGTGATGACCAAAATATTCACATCTATTTGGTGTTGGTCCTTTGCAGATGAATGGTTGGATTCTCAGGGATCAGCTTGTGATGCATACTGCAAATCACTACCTTACTGGTGTCCAGCATCAGCTCTGTGTTTTGATATTAAGGCAGTAAGTTCTGTTTTGGTGACTTGCAGGCTTAGTTAGTCCTGGTTTTCATATTCTGAGTCCATCATCGTGTTCTTTTTGCTAAATCTTTGTCCTCAACTTCGTCTCGTTTTCTATCTTCAAACTGTGCACACATCTTCCCTTCCAGAGCTTCAAATTCTTTTTTGAAGTTTCTTGAAATACGACACAGCCATCACTAGCGTATTTGTATTCCAAAATATGAACTGTCTAGTTACCTAGATCCTTAAAAAAATTGGTGCAGGTGGTAAACTATGCTTCCTATAATGGTGATGGAGAAGGTGCTTCCATGGCTGTAGATTCCTGCTTACCGTGTGTATGTGTTTGTGTATATACGAGGAAACTTTATGAACTGCACTTTGTTTGTGTGACTATATAACGCCTCTTGTTTCCCTAGAGCTTTGGACGATTTCTATAAACTACTGAAGCAGTCACCTCTGAGTGATCCATCAACAACTGAAGCCATGAAGCGTCAAATCATGGTTGCCCTTGGCTCTCTAGACAGGTACTAGCACTTGAAATGAAAAACAAAATCCGTATCTACTTCAAAATCGGAAGAACCATTTACTGACCTATTCTTTTCTGCACGTTTTCCATCTTTTGAGCATCTTGGAATTTGTACCGCTAAACCGTATGCCAAGGAGCATACAGAAGGTGCTTGTAGATGTCTGCCTGGAACAAAAAGAAAAAACACTAGTATGTGAACACTGCGAGAAGCCAGGCCTTACAGAGGATGAATCTGACGAATGGCGGCAATGGGGATCAGACTCGGGGGACGAATCGGATGAATGGCAGCAAGGGTCATCCGACTCGGAGGATGAATCTGATGAATGGCAGCGAGTGGGACCTGACTTGGATGACTCCCTAGAGACCCTCGGGAAGAAGCAGGCACAGGTTCTGGATCGCCGGTCGGGGCACTCGTGTTGGCTGTATTTTGTTTGCTGCGTATTGGTAGTGGTGGCCGCAAGAGCGTTGAGCCATCCCACTTTAATGTCATAGAGCCAGTATCTTGTTATTCTCTCTCTTCTAGGAGCTCCTGTGCCGTGCATGTAAAAAGGTAGTGTTCTGGAAACTAGTGTTAAATGAGGTTAACATCGGTGGTGGTTAATGTATTAGCATTATCCCTGTAGCTAAGTTCATGTGCTGCTGCTTTTGTTCCTGTTCCTTTTCCTGAATCAGATAGATTTGGTCTTGAACCTGAAGGACATGTGTGGCTATATGTTGTATCTGCTGCATCTGGGCTCTCACAGGTTCAGATGGCACTGACAAGGTGTTGTGGTCACTTTAAGCTGCTCAGTAAGTTAGGGAAGGGAAAAACAATGGTTGGGAGTATTTGCAAATAACCACTAGGTTGTGCTAATATAACTGTCCACTATGAGGAAACCGTACTATTTGACCCTTTCTTTAGTTATTAAGATATACAATTATATACCCAAAACAATTTACATGAAAACGAAAGAATAAAATTGAAAATGAAATCTTAAAACTAGTGAAAACAGCCCTGAATGGTTTATAGAAATTGGGAAAAGCTCGCAGAAATGTTTTTTTTTCAATTTGAGAAAATTTCATCGATTTGAAAAAAGTTCATTAATTTTGAAAAAAAGTATATGAACTGCGGAAAAAGTTCACTAAATTTTGTAGTAAGTTGGTGATTTGAAAAAAAGTTCACGAGTTATGCATTTGAGAAAAGTTGAATGATTTTGAAAAAAAAGTCCATCAGTTTTGAAGAAAATTTCATGAATTTTGAAAAATACTTCTTCAATTTTGAAGAAAAGTTCACAAATTTGGAAAAAGTTCACGGGTTTAAAGAAAGATCATTGATTTTGATAAAAAATGTCCACCAATTTTAAAAAAGTTCATGTATTTTTTAAACTACAAGTTCTAAAAAATTATCAATTTTTAAAAGTGTGCGAATTCAAAAAAAAGTCACCAGATTTTGAAAAAAACATAGATTTGAGAAAAGATCGTTGATTTTGATAAAAGTTTCAAATTTGGAGAAGTTCACTATGTTAAAGAAAAGAAAAGAAAAGTGAACAACGAAAGAAAAATAACTGGAGTAAAAACCAGGAAAACCCCGTAAAAGAACAGATTCATGAAGGTACCGAATAAGAAGTAGACAAAAGGGTTGGTGAGCACAGCACCCGTAGTTTTGGTTACCTTGATTTGAAAGTAAACAGTATAGTTGACATTTCGAATTACAGCACCCGTAGTAGTTTTTGAAGGTAATAATAATAATAATAATGAAAATGGGCCAAGCCTAGGAACCAGCGTGGGTGTGAGCCGATTTGTTTCTTTGCCTTTAACCAGCGCCTGGCTCTTCGGCGTTGGTCTTTCACGGACTCACGGGCCCGACAACATTAGAAGCTCTTGCTTGCCGGAAAGCCACTGCTCTGGTCAAGGACTTGAGGATTACTAATATTTGTGTGGCCTCGGATTGCCTCTCTGTTGTCAATGATATTCATACTGGATTACTGCGCCAGTTGTGAAGGAGATCAACAATATAGCTACATATTTCCTCTCTTGCTCCTTTATTCATGAAGGACGTCTCTCCAATAAGGAGGCTTATAGTCTAGCTAGGCATACTTTACATCTAGTTGAAGGTCGTCATGTGTGGTTTTTAAACCCTTTTGATACTGCTATTATCCCTGTAACTCGTACCATTGATCAATAAAGTAAAACATGTTAGTCCTAAAAAAACGGCGCCATGCTTCCTCTTCTTTCTCCGGTCTCACTAGTAGTTTGGCTGGCCCATATTCTGCTCGCTATTTTTTCTTCTTTTTGTTCGACTGTCTTTGCGGTCGCTATTTTTTTGCATCTAGCTTGACTATTGTTAAATCATGATCAAAGAAAAGAACAAAAAAGGAATTACTCACGAACAAAAACGAAATACCTTAAAACTTGCAAAACATAAATGAATTACTCGTGAATTCAAAGAGTGTCCATGAATTAGAAAACATGTTCG